CAGGGTACATAAGGAACAAAGACGGTTATTTGTAACATAAATGCTCTCCAATAGAAAATACCGAAACCACTTCAGCCTCATCGAGGAATTGGTAGACGAGCTTACTCTACCAACCAGATATTAAAGGGTCACACCTACACTTTAACACCAGAACATAATGTTTCAATATAATGGCTTTGATCTGGACAGTAATGGATCAAGCAACAAATTTGAATATGGATTATATAAGACTTCTAGAGTCCAGTCAGCAGGAATAGACAGATAGGTCCAATGTGGAGCTAGCCCAGAACAGGCATAAGAACATATCAAATACAAACTGGAGCAGGCTGTACAGCCTTGAGCATACTCCACCATTCAATACAGTCACAGCTTCACCTACATTTTCCTGCCAGCTCCTCCACACTCAATTTCGAGACACCCAGAAAAATCTGTCTCAGCCTTAAATATCTTCATTGATGACATATCTACAACCTTCTAGGATAGGTGATTTAAAAGATCCACAACCCTTTCTCATTGAAGAGATTTCTCATCTCAATCCCAAACAATTGGTCCCTTATCCTGAGACCATGCCTCAGTGTTCTAAATTCCTCAGCCATGGGAAACAAAACCTACGAAGCCCCCTCTCAATCTTATATGTTCCAATAAAATCACCTCATCCTTCATGCCAGATAGACAACTTACCCCAACACTCATCTCAGAATCTGGTGAACATTCACTCTACCACCTCCAATGCAAGTGTTGTATATCTTTCTTTAACATATGGAAACTAATATTACATACAATATTCCCAGTATGGTCTCACTAAATCCCTGCACAGTTGGAAAACAAGATTTCTTCATCCTGGTATTCCAAATATCTTGTACAAAAAGACATGTTTTTACTTATTCATTCATGGTTTGTGAGCACACTGGCTGGGCCAGCATTTATCGTCCATTCCCAATTACCTTTGAGAAGGTGATGATGATCCACACCATGTGCTGTAGACTGATCCACAATGCCCTTAGGAAGTGAGTTCCAGGATTTTGACCCAGTGACACTGAAGGAATGGTGACATATTTCCAAGTTAGAATGGTGAGTGACTTGGAAGAGAACTTCCAGGTTGTGGTGTTCCCATGTATCTGTTGCCCATGTCCTTCTAAGTGGTAGACGTCGCAGGTTTGGAAGATGCTGTTGAAGGAGCCTTGGCAAATTATTGCAGTGCATCTTGTAGATGGTACACACTGCTAGCACCATGCATTGGTTGTGGAGGTAGAATGTTGAAGGTGGTGGATGGAGCATCAATAAATCAGATTGCTTTGTCCTGGATGGTATTGAGCTTCTAAAACTGTTGGAGCTGCACTCAGGAAAATAGTGGATATTTCATCACATTCCTAATTTTTGCCCTTAAGATGGTGAGCAGGCTTTGGGGTGGCAGGTGGTGATTTACTCACCACATAATTGCTCACCTTTGGCGTGCTCTTGTAGCCAGTGTTTACATGGCTAGGTAACCCTCTGGATAGTGATAGCAAGATTTCAGCATCAGTAATGTTTTTGAACACCAGTCATCATCTGCTGTGGTGGCTAATTTTGGAACTTAAAGAGCCCAGTTATTTTAACAAGCAATGCTGGAATGAAAATCAGAGCTTTAAGGGACTAGACTATAACGTGCCAGAAAGTTCTTAATCTGATACTTTATTCAAAGAGTCTGCACAAGCAGGCTGTTCATATTGGCGCAAATTGTCTTCATTCAGTAATCTTCTTAACTGGGTCACAATTTTCGAATGTTTCCAGACTGTTACTCCGGATGCCTTTAATGTGAAATGTTGACTTGTTGCAGTGGATAAGGATTGGTTTTCTTTTGTAAGTTAATGGAATTTGACATTATTTAAATGGCCAAAGTGTGCGGGGGGAGGTTAGAAGTAGTAGTCCTGGCACAGCACATTAAGTTAAACAGTTACTTGCTATGCTTTCTGACGCTTATACATTTTGCAACACAAGATGTGGACTTTAGTAAATGGATGCAACCATTCGTGACAACCAGTAGGCTGAACAGCCAGTTAATGCCTGCATGCAAAATAAACAGAGATCGAGGGGAGGGCACAGCAAGAGGCATTTCTCATCTTAAAGTAAAAAGAAACTGGTATGTTTTATTTCCTGTCTGAATACAGTGTACTCCAGGTGACAAAGAAACCAGATGCTCTCTCTAATAATTTAAGCGGCTATAAAGAAGTCACTTAGTTTCCCTGCTCTGACCTACGACATTCAATAGGTAGATAGATGTGTTATGTCGCCAAAGTTGTTGAGGTGGTGTTGATCCCACACATCAGGTAGGTGGCAAGCTGCAATAATGGTTCATTTGCAGGCTTTGTTTGCAAACTGTACAGTATCATTTGTTTTGGTTAGCAATGAGAGTGATATTGTGCCTCATTTATTACTTTATGAGATGGTAGAGTTACCTCTTCGACACCACTTGAACTCAGCATTAAATTGCTGTAGAATACAATCATATTAATGGCTCTAATTCTTCATTCTGGGAATGTGCTGGGACTGAGCTCTGCACTGACTGTGATGGCATGGTCCAAGGAAACTGGAGAATAAGTATTTGTCAGTATACACACACATTCTACTGCAGTTCCAAAGCACCAGATAGCATATACTACTACAGTCCCACCTGAAGAGCATCATCGTGCTGATTCAAATGTTGAAAGCTGTATTCACAACAGTTGGCTGGGGGACCTTTGAACGACAGGTTTCTCGTAACGGTCAGTGTTACAAAAGAGATGCAATTCCCCCATCACAAACAGCTGTGATATCTCACCTCCCACCCTTCCTTGACCAAGCTTTTAGTCAGCTGTCTCACTATCCCCTTATGTGACTCAGTATCAAATTCTGTACCCTTGAAACAAATGGGTTCATTTTACTACAGTGGAGACGTCTATAGAAATGCAACTTGCTGTTGTGACAGAAAGAGCAAACACATTACGACAATGAGCTTAGAGATAGCAAGAACTGCAGGTGCTGGAGTCAGTGATAACAGTGTGGAGCTGGAGGAACACAGCAGGCCAGGCAGCATCAGAGGAACAGGAAAGTTGACGTTTCAGGTCAGGATCTTTTGCTTCAGAACAGAAGCCTCAAGGACTCAGTTCAGAAGAGAACACTTTTTCCTAGCAAGAGAACCAATGTTTTCAGTTCAATTCAGAGGAACCAGTCACTTCAGAAGGGATTTCTAGTCTGCAGTTTCCAAGGCAGGAGAACCATAATAGAAATCTTTAAGTTGTTAGAACTGGAAATACTTTGGCCAGAGTGTGTCATACCAGCGGACTCAAAAAGGAATCATAGTAAAATAGTTTCAACAGTCCAAGGGAACAAAAACTGGAAACCATTAGTTAAGTAAAGATTTAAAAAGCTAAGAAAGGAGTTATCTTTCCCTGGGGTTGAGTCTCTGTAACAGATGATGTTGGGAAACAAATTGAAACTTTGTTTGACTTGGGTATGAAGATTTTTCTATCTTGTACATATGTATAGCATTATTTGTTTTGCCTTTTGTGTAATGTTCTGTGGTTGAACAACATCTGCAGCCTTGTCTGAATGTGTTCAGTGACTAACCACCATATCAACTGATCAAAAAAAAAACAAATATATCATCTATCAAGCCAGGTTTCATGCTGGGATGTGACTTGTCCAATATTAGCATGAGGTGGGATCATAACAATAGGTCTACCTTGGTTACCTTACACATCTTTCATTCCTTTTACCACTATTGGGACTGTGTCTTCCACCATCTAGGCCCTACACTCAAATTCCTTCACTCCCTCCTCCTTACAACTCACCTCTGACCAAACTTTAAATCATCCTTACTAACCCCTGCTTCTTGGGTTTATTTTCTGCATTTTGTTCTGAGTAGCTTTGTATGAAATACTTTGGGACATTCCTACATTAAAGACACCCGATAAAGGCAAATTGTTGATCTACATTCAGTTGACAGCAGCTCATTTAACCTTCTAGCTATACTTATTCACACAGAAATGCAATATCAATAACAAATCTTCTGAACATGATTTTACTTGTACTGGCTGTATTTAACCATTAAATGTGGAGGTTTAAATGCAGGCTAAGACCTTCTCTGTGCTGGAGCACACTGAAAAAAAAAAAATTGTGTCAGAGTTTTAGGAAAAAGACAAGTATCAATTTACCCAGCCAAGTGAGCAATCGGCTGCCCAGTCTCAACCAAAATTAGTTTGAAACAAAAAAATGAAGATGCCTATGATCAACATTTTTGCTTGGGGTGTGGGTGATGCTGGCAAGGCTGGCATTTATTACCCCTCACTAATTACTCCAGAAACTAGTGGACCCTCAAACTGCTGCAGTCTTTGTGACAATGGTGCTCCCGCAGCTGGCAGAAAAACCTTCCCTTTTACTTAGTTTTCATTTAGGAAGATGGAAGGCATTCTGGGCTCTCAGACAATCCAATACAATTTAGTAAAGTGATATTAATGGCCAGAAAGGATACAGCATTCTCAAGAAAATAGGTTGGATCAGAACAAGACAGTATAAAAATCCCACATATGCGTGGAATGCAATTTATTCCTAAACAAGTGACCCTGATTAGAAAATAGCAACTCTTGTAGATAAGCTTTCAGTTTTAATGGAAAAAAAAAGTAACTGTAGAATATGATCCCTACATAAAAGATGGCAATAGTTCTGCAATCCCATGTAATAGCAGAACCAAATAATAGAAATGGTTGTAACACAGAAGGCAGCCACTCAGATAATTGAGCCAATGGTGGATCTCCATAACAGCAATTTACTAGTCCCATTACCCTTCCCTTCTCCTGCATTTTCTTTCCCTTTCAGACACTTACCCAATTCTCTGAGAGAATTTCATTTTCATTTTTAAAACAGGGCTCTTCCTAAACAGTCCTTTGCTTCAGCAATTAAGTACAGTATTAAAAGATGAATCTTATTCATATTGTGTCCATTTTGTTTCCAGTGACAGTGTTACAATTGTGTGCTGCCCTTGAGCAGGAATCCATTATAAATCAAGCTCTCTTTATTAGGCTTGCCTGCGTAAAACTTGATTCATTAAAACTTTTTAACAACAGCTTTGTCAGAATAGAAAAGAATATTAATCGCTTTACATAATTGAATACATAAAAATAAACCTCTTAAAGTGCACACTGCACTCCCACAATTTTTTAACTATTAAAATATAAAATATATTCAGAGAACAAGCAGATCTTGAGTAGCTGACTATTTGATTTAGACAAATACTAAGTCACAATTCTAGCGTCTGGAGGGATGGAGCGGCAAGACACTTAATGCTTCCGCGCTAATTGTTAAGTTATTAATTTATATCAGGGAATGTTGTTGTGGATTTTAATAAAGCAGAACAAAAATTCTGTTTTGATATATCGACAGATATACATTGTTCGGAGACACACACAGAGTGTAGCAAGTATTATCATTGGATGTGGTTATTTGCTGAATGTTTAACCATACCGTTTACGAGGTGTCACTGGAAGGGTACCCACTCTACATTCCAGTTTACCCGCTTCACTGGAACTGTGGGCGAGTTAGATTTTGACATTTGATCTGAACAACTATTGGGTGAAGGGAAATGCCCCCTAGAAAGGTACACGAGGAGCAATGAGAAGGAACTAGTATTTAACATGACAGGATTCATCAACTGAGTATTGGCTCTGACGAAAATTTACCGGCGACTATCCCGGAAACTGCATCATAAACGGTGTCAAGCCTTGTTTATAGCCAGCCTAATCATTGAACGAAAAATAGCGTTCTGCCATTCTTGTTAATGACCGACCAACGATCATGCACAAACAAGAAAAAAAAATCGCATTTCCCTACCTGAAATGTAGATTATAATCGGCAGTTTCCCTCCTATGTGAGTGCTGTACGGGGATTTAAATGGCGCTTGGCTGGGCGAGTCCTTTTTTTCCTCCACAACAGCTTTTCATACAATATGCTGTCAACCTTTTTTCCAAACAGATTCGTGTTAATGAAAATGTTCTTTTTTGGCCGGTGGGGGTGCTTGGGTTTGCTGCGATCAAATGGAGGGAGTTAGCAGGCGACGGCTTGGGTGCAGAAGGGTAGAGGCTGCGAAGGAAGGTAACTAAGTTGGTGAAACTGACTTACCGCAGCCCCTGCTCTAACCAGCTACAATGTACCGACCTATCTATAACAATAGACTCAGCGTTCCACAGCGCTGCTATTTATAGACATGACGCCGCCCGGGGACACAAAGCGCTTGCGTGGAGATGCCCAGTGCACCCCGGGAATTGTGGTTTGCTCTTCCCCTTGTTCTTACCGTCAAGACTCCCCCATCTTCCTGTGCCCCAAAAAAACCAACCTTTGATCTGCGCCCTTCTCAACAAGAAGGGATGCGTTTGTCACAGTAACCTTCAGTTGTCGGTTTCAGCCTTGAGATTCGTATCTATTCCATTTGTCCCCGCCCGCGCCGACAGTGAAATCCACACGGAACGTCCATGTCGATTTCCGATTACCGCCAGCGCGGCGTCAACCCAGGTAAACAATCGTTCATTCATGACACGTGGCTCAAGGTGCCAAAAGACAGGTACAAGAATTCACCTCACCTTGCTCACCCCACTTAAACGGGCAAAACGATTAAGGGGGGAAAGTTATATATATGTCCTTGTAACTCGCTGAAGTTTTTTTTGTTCTCAGTTTTGTATTTTGTTTTACGAACAGCATGGACAATAAAGAGGACATGAATAAGACTGACTCTGAAAACATTATTTTGATACCCAACGAGAGCGACATTGGCCTCTCTACGACAGTCCAACGAGCCATAGGAAAAATCGAGACCGCGCAGTTGGCGAGAGCAAGACAGGTAACAACTTGTGTAGGAATGTAGGGCAAAATATGGTCAGTTATCAAAAGAGAGGACATCAGCAATTGCATGTCCCAAAGTCACAGAAAAGAACGATTTCTGGCTGAGCGCTACATACGTTTGACGAAAACATCCAGTGCTAAAAGTAGAAGAGGTGCGGACATTTCACTGTCTTTTTCGGTGTCATCGTGTCACTATAAATTATGAAACTGACCATACATCTATACTTGAAACGTTAATCTATCTATATTTCTTGCTTCGCAGAGACTGACTGACCTACAATACATTTCTCGCAATTTTTGTCTTTATTTCAGATTTCTTCGGGTTTTTCATTTTGTTTACCCTCGATTTAGATCTGGGACCGGAATCTCAGTAGAAACATTGTATTCCAAAGCAGCGATCCTTGACAGGAAGAAAGCAGATAAGATGTTTATTGTACCAAGTGACGCTGCCCTGAAGGCTTTTCAACCTTGACATTGACATTTATACACCTTACACGTTAAAACAGGTTTTCAGTTGGGAACAGTGATTCTCGGAATTAAAGCGCGAACAGTTCACCAAGTGCCAACACGGTTGACACTTGTTCAGCGCCCTGATCGCCTGTAGCCCAGGCCTAGAGTGGGTTAATCCAATGGAGGGTCCTGCCTTGATAGTACTGAGTCCTTCTTGAGGCTGCCCAGGGGTAAACAAGTGGGAGTCAGGAAGATTAATGTTGGTAACAGCAGTAAGTTCAGTAGAAAAGGTGGTGGAGGCAAAAATCCTCATAATATTTAAGAAATATTTAGATGTGCACTTGCAATGCCAAGGCATACAAGGTTATGGACCAAGTGCTGGAAAATGGGATTTGAATAGTTAGGTGGTTGTTTTTGACTGGTGCAGATGGGCCAAAGGGCCTTTTTCTGTGTTGTAAACCTCTATGATTCTATGACCGTATGATGAACATACCCAAACATACAGAGACGTAGACAGATAGATGCATATGAACAGACACACATGTACAGAAACACAGACACACACACACACAAACACGGGCAGATAGATTAACACACATTCACATACAGAGATACATACATCTGGGAGAAGTGATGGCCTAGTGGTATTGTCACTGAGCCATTAACCTGGGGACCTAGGTTCAAATGTTGCCATGGCAGCAATTTGACTTCAGTAACAATCTAGAATTTAGAGTCTATTGTTGGAAAAACCCATCTGGTTCACTAATGTCCTTTAGGGGAGGAAACTGCCATCCTTGTCTGGACCAAATGTGACTCCAGACCCATAGCAATGTGGTTGAGTCTTAACTGCCAGCTGGGATGGGCAATAAATGCTGGGTTAGCCAGTGATGCTCTTATCTTTATGAATTTTTAAAAGAACATATAGACATGTGCACACACATGCAGAGACATGGACAGACACATACATACGGAGATAAGAACAAACAGACATGGTGACATGACAGATAGACACATACATATAGAGATAAATATAAACAGACTACGCATGTATACAGAGACATGGGCAGTCAGACATACAGACACACATGTATACAGGGATTCAAACAGACAGACAGACACATACACATGCAAACAGAGACACAAACAAACAGACACACATACAGAGAATCAGACAGACATACATACACAGAAAATGTGATGGCAAGTTTTAATGAATAACCTGAAGTGGGATTTGAACTTGTTGGCATTTTATCAAGTCCTGATACTGGAACTCTATTTTAAGAAAAACAGGAATGTGTGACATGCTTTTCTTAATTTATGGAGGCTGAAATTGTCAGTCACATAGTTGATGCAACATCTCATTGCGCTTTCCATATGTATTGGATGCAACACTGACATTTTTTTTAAAATGTGAATGATATTTGTGCAGATTGTTGCCAGGGCAAAACTTCACATTCTAAAATTGCCATTATTTAGAGCCCTTTTGTTGTCTGTGGTCATGGCAACCAGTTGTCACCATGGCAGACTGTATTGAAACAAAATTAGACCATTTTTTCTGAAGTGTTTTTAACTTGGTGATTAATTTGGAATTTTTATATTAAATTGTTCTTGGAATGTAGGCGGCATTCCTGACAAGGCTGGTGTTTATTGCCCATCCCTAGTTGGCCAGAGAGATGTTAGGCCTTCTTGAACCGCAAGTGGAATTTTCAATACAAATGAGTGACTTGCTAATCTTAGTTTTATGTAATGTGTATATGACTGAATTAGATTTGTCTTATTACATGTATGGATGGTTGGAACACAGATCGACTGGGGAACATTTTTCAGTTATGGCATGGACAAAGGATTAATAAATTATTTGTATTTACAAAGTTTCTTACATTTCATACTGCTAACAGTTGACTGTCGGAAGCCATTGAGTGGGGAATGTATAGGTCAGAACATTAGTGCCACACAGCACTACAAGTTGCCAGGAAGTCCTGAAGATTCGAATGACTAAGAATATTTTCTATTATTATTCAGTATAGCAGTGCTGAGCTCTTTACTTTGATTGGGAACTCTTAGTATGGGGAAGAGCTGACTTGGTGGTGTTTGTAGGAAAATTTCCTCCAGTGACCTTGCCAATATTTATCCCTCAACGAAAATCATAAAAAAAGTCTAATTGTTTATTTTGTTGCTGTTTGTGAGATCTTATTGAACACAAATTGACTGCAGCATTTTCTCACTTTACAATGGTAACTACACTTCAACAGTACTTCAATAACTTTAAATCACTTTGGGACATTCTTGAGGCCATGAAAAGCACTATATATAAAGAAGTCTTCATTTTTTTCCTTCATTAAGATACATTTTCTTTGTACAGTAAGGATGTAGATAGGGCAAAATAAGTGATTTGTGTCTTTTAGAACTATTTGACATTTCCAAACATAATTGCAATTTTTTTGAAACTACTAACTTGCTTGAATAGCTTTTTACTTTTTGATCTTTTCTTTTAATATTTGCCAACAGGAAGTTGCAGAACGTTTGAAGGACATTCTGGACAAAGTGAATTTCGCTTTGAGCCACGCAAGATTTGACCACCAGCAAGTGCCAAAAATCACCTTAACCCCTGAAAAAAAGGAAAGGGAATGGTTGATAGATACAATCACTGAATTTGCAACTGGCAACAGCACCAAAGAGGAAATCTTAAAGTTTATTCTACAATGGCTGTCGGACAGCAGTATGCAGTTTATTATAAACTAATTGATCTCCAGTGGCGTTAGGCACTGAATGGGGCAAATTGTAATCTAACTCCCCCATTTTGAGAAGCAGAGAAGTGGAGTAGATTGAAGCATAGGACTTTCTCTGCTGAGGAGTTGGGTGATGCAAAAACAAGATATTTCAGCACTACAGCTAGTGGGAGGGTATAATTACAGTGCGATTTATTCACGAGCGCACATTCATTATAAATGTAGACATAGGAATTTATAATAGGAAAGGTTGACATAAAATTTTAACAAAAATATGATGAGGAAGTAAAGCTTTGTACAGAGGAAGTGTGCATAAATCTAAGATTTTTGGTACTAGTAAAATTAGTGCATTGAATATAGAATATTAGGGACTTAATAATTTGAATGTCCTAATGGGAATGTAAACAAGTAAAGAGGATTTCCAGGTCATCTCATCAACCTGGATCCAATTAGACCATTTATTATATTCTCCATTACAATTCCCTTGCTCTCTGCTGGATATGGGCCAGACACAGTTTTGATTCAAACACTTCAACAGTGAGTATTTATAACACAAGGTGACAATCTAAACAACAAGGCAACACTTAATAAAACTGTGTTATCCAGTGAGCAAATACACAGTTTTTGTACAATGTACCAACTAGTGTGAAACAGGTTTGATTCCAGGTCTGTGTTGCATTGTGTCTCACAGCATTCATAGCACCACAATTCAATTACTTATGAGGGCTAATCAGCCAGTGTTCTGTTGATACTCAGCAGCTCTTGATGGAATATACTCATATGTGGATATCCAGTAAGAACAGCATCATAGTCGAATGGCTGAATATCATTAATTGTCAAAAAGCAGACTGATTTTAAAAAAATACTAATTTAACATGAGGGATACATTAGATATAGGATTTTTTTTTCCAGCGTACTTTGGCATTGCTGGCAAGGTCAGAATTTGTTGTCTGTCCTGAATTGCCCTTGAAATGGGTGGCATGCTGGGCTGTTTCAGAAGGCAGTTAAGAGTCAACGACATTGTCATGGGTCTGGAGTCATAGGTAGGTCAGACCAGGTAAGGGCCACAACCTTCTTTCCCGAGAGGGCATTAGTGAAATAGGTGGATTTTTACAGTAGTTTCCTGGTCATCCTTACTAAGGCTAGTTTTATAATTCCAAATTTTATTAATTGAATTTAAATTCCAGCAGTTGCGGTGGGATTTGAACCTATGTCCCCAGAACAGCAGTTGGGTCTCTTGATTACTGGTCCAATAGCACTACCATGATGCTATCACCTGTGATATTCTAATGTTTCTCATTAAATTGCATATTAGAACAATTCACATTTTAGGCATGCATTTAACTGGAGTCAGCTGTAGGTTCCAAGGCAGGTTGTTGACTGTAGAAGTATTTGTAGGCCTAACTTTAAGAATTATTCTCTCATGTTTGTCAAATGGATCTTCATGATTTTATTTTTGCTATATAACTCAAACACATTATCAAGATTTGAAAGGACTGCAGAGTAAGACTTGTATTTGATTTATAATGCAACAATTGTATCAATACAAAGCCAAATTATTTCACATGAATGGAATTGGAAATACACCTTTAGATGTATCAGACATAGAGCATTTAATGTTTAATGTATGTATTTTGACATTTGCCTGGGACTGGAATGATGCCTTTAGGTGTGCAATCTTGGATGAAATCAGCCCTTACAAATACCCAAAATCTGTTTCAAAAAGGTTGAAAATGTACTTAAAGGGGTTTAAAAATTTAGATTAAGCATTTTTGTACAGTTTTACATTACTACGGTGTACATTAACATTGATTAACCAGGCACAACAATTTCTCACTTTAAGTGATACTTTACTGAACCAATACTAGGTCCTGACTGTTCTAATAGTAGGATATTAGCTTGGAGTCGGCATTTTGCCCTAATACCCACTGATTTCATCCACTTTGGACCTAAAAATTATAATCTTCTAAAGGTAAAAAACTAGGAACAATTCAGTTCCAAAGAGACTTCAGTGGCCAGATATATAGATCATTAAAATGTTGTAAACAAGTGCATAATTTAATCAAAAAAGCAAATAAAATGCTGGTTTTCATATCTAGAAATCCACGTACAACAGACTAGAAGTCTCAGTTCAGCTATATAAAGCCCTATTTAGATCATACTGGTGAGTCATTCTTGATAGGGCACCTTAGGATATTGGCCTTAGAGGGAGTGCTGTGTGGATCTATTGAAATGATACCTGGATGTGTTAAACTGCAAGGAGAGATTACATAAACTAAGGTCGTCTTCCCTGGAATTTCAAAGGTTAAGGGATGATTTAATCAGTTTTTAAAGTATTGAGGGGAAGAGATTGAGTCGAGAGAAACTAGTTCCAATGGTTAGGCAGTCAAGAACTAGGGAGCACAGTCTAAAAATTTGAGCAAGACCTTTCAGGTGTGAAATTAGGAAACACATCTATGCAGAAAGGGTGCTAAAAGTTTTGAACTCTCCACCATAAACAGCAATTGATACTGGAACAATTGTTCATCTAATATCAGAGATTGATAGATTTTTGCTAACCTAAGGTCTTCAGAGATATGGAGCAAATGTGGGTATGAGGCGTTAGGTTACAGATAGTTCACCATTCAGTGAAATCGTGCTGACTGAAGAGGCTGAATGGCTTCCTCCTGTTCCGATAAGAATCACTTTTAATGACATGCTGATTAAAAATGTTGGCTGCAGAGCCAACATGGTTTTGTTAAAGGAAAGTCATGTTTACCTTATTTATTGGAGTTTTTTGAAGAAGTAACTTGTGTAAGGGGGCACCAGTAAGTATTGTATTTTGATTTCCAGAAAGTGTTTCATAATCAAAAGTTATTGTGGAAAATAAAAGCTCATGGTGTAGGGGGTATCATATTGGTTTGGATAGAAGATTGGCTGACTAACAGGAAGCAGAGAATAGGAATAAATGGGTCTTTTTCAGGCCAGCAAGATGTCACAAGTGGTGTACCACAGAAGTTGGTGCTGGGGCATCACTCTTTAGAATTTATACACGAATTAAGTAAATAATCAGAACATCTTTTTTGAAGATGTTGGTTTAAGGGATAAATATTAACAAGTGAAAGGGATTGCAGATTGTGATCCCAAGATAAAGGCTGCACAATACAGCAATCTCATGTAATAAAACCGATTTTGACTTAGTTATTCTGTATCCCTGGTCATGATTTGAAATCATGTGAGCCAGCCCCTCAGATTGATGTGTTTGATGGGATGGTGTAGTGGGAATTTTACTCCGTATTTAACCCCATGCTGTATCAGCCTTGGAGTGTTTGATGAGACAGTCTAGCTGGAGTGTTAGTCTGTATTTAACTCTGTTATGCCTAACTTGAAAATGTTCAATTCTGACAATGTTCGATGCTCAAAATGGAAAGTATTTCACAGATTAGCACTAACTTCTTAATCTTGATGAACACAAAACAAATGCACACGAGAGTAAGCTGTTTCAATATAATTTACAAACATGATTCTATTTATACATGTATGTTGCAGATCAAACATTAATTGATGAAGAAGACATCGAGGAGGACAGAGAAGTAGAAAAAAGGTCGGCTGAATGGATTGAGGAAGTTAATGTGAAAGTGCAATCAAGCCTGGCTTCTTCACAAGAGTGTATAGAAAATCTCCATAAAATATCGAAAAATCTGTTTAGCCTCCAACATGAGCGTATAAAGCCAAAGTCAGCAGGTACATTTAGGAAAGTATTAGATTTGCCATGTGTCCTAATATCCAAATTTAAAGAAGACAAATCTGTTATCTGGGCATGCCATCTTCCTATGCTTTATGAGCTGCTACTCACAAAGGTTGTTGCTACCATCCTGTTTAAGTGTAGGGAACTACAGGGCCTGCTTGGTCGAGTCTGGTTATGGACAACGACTTCCTGGTCTAACTAGAAGAGTCTCTTGTAGTTAACAAGATACAGTTTATTATTATACAGTTCTGAGGAAGGGTCATTTGACCTGAAACATTAACTCTGATTTCTTTCTTCAGATGCTGACAGACCTGCTGAGATGTTGCAGCAATTTCAGTTATAGTAATATGTTGGCAACTAGTCAAAGGTTACATTAATACAAAAAATTAGTACCAGGAATTCGAAGAGGACCAGATATTGGGCCACACTACTTCAAGATCCTGAACTGTTCTGCCTACATATCCATATGACATAATTATAGCAAATGGTGCTTATGGCACTCCTCAGTATGGACCCTTTGGACCCATATCAACATTTCGCTGCCTGCAAAGTTTTTTTTTTCCGTTTTTAAGATGATATATTTGTGAATATAATTACATTTACTGTAACCCCATCGCCCCAAATTTCTGACTTTACAAATTAAAGTGATCTGGAAGTTTTGCTGTTCTCCTGGAATTACTTCTTATTGGACTTCAAAGTCTGGTGTTCCACCCAGCAAACTACCATTGTCTTTGATTCTCTTTCTTGACAGTCTGAAGATCCCTTCAATCTAGAGTGACTTTAATCTCTTGGATTTCCTTTCCAGAGGACTAAATCCCTGCTGAACAAGCAATTCCTTCTTTTCAGTATCTTGAGTCTTTGAAATTGGCAATTTCCTCCTTGCAGTATGTTGAATCATTGGACATTGCTTCTTGGTGGTAGCTTCCATGGAGTTGTATCCACCACAGTTTCAATCTGCATCTGCAGATTTTTATTCTCAATCCACCTATAGGTTTGTGCTGAAGCATTGATTGGTTTGGATTATCTCTTTCACCTCATTATTGGTGAAAAAAACATGTTCACTTCCTCAGTTTTGCTATTTGAGGATTGCTTCTGGCTTGGCATGATCTCTTTCACAGTTACTGAGGATACTTTCTAAGAAGGTTAGGAAGTCAAATACTGTGCTTGAATGTGTCTCTTCTGAGGCACCTCACCACCTAACATTGGTCTTGAATCTATCATAGTTATTTGTTCACCAAGCTTTGTTGCACTCTGAGTTACATCAGTTAGAGTTAGTCAATTGGCTCAAATAGGGTATGCTGTTCATTGGCATTTCATTGCTTGTTCTTCCTCACAAATCTTGCTGGCTCTTGCAGTCTGAGTTTGGTATATCACGCTTTCCCATCTTGTTGACAGTACAAAACAAATTTCTTTAGACAATTTAACTAATCTCAGTGGATCCTTCTTTTTGTTTGAGTTCTGCCACGAGTCCAGGGAGCCCCATTAAATCTTCAATCTGCTGTCCTCTGACCAGCTGTTCACTGACTGGCTATTCCTTCAACTTTATATAACTTAACTACTAATGCCATTTGAAAAAGATTAAGGTTAGACATGCCTTCCAACTTGAGTGAGAATTCTTGATTATGAAGTACTGATAGATTTTCTACTGCTTGACATTTCCCGATATCAGAGAGCTCCTTGCAGGTTACGTTTAATCCTAAGTGCTATGCTTCCTGGGGCATGTAGTTGCATTGTTGTCAGTTGTAGATAGTGCTTTCCTAACCATGGCTCACTATCTGATCATGTAGTGACACTTATCCTTGTGTCTAACTTGTAATTTGTGACCATTG